CGGCGGCCGGGCTGTAGGACGCCTCCGGGACGGGCGACATCTTGCTCTGGCGCGGGGCGCTGAAGTGGGCGGCCGGCATCCGTCTCCTCTTGAAGACGCCGTTGACGAACATGTCGGCGTACTGGGGGTCGATCTGCCAGAAGCCCCCCTTGCCCGGCTCGTCCTTCTGCCGGGGCACCTTCATGAAGCACTTGTTGAGCGACAGGTTGTGGCGGATCGAGTTCTGCGGAGAGAGAGAGGGAGGGGAGACGGAGCGTCACCAACCCGCCGTGCACTGGGGGGGCAAGGGCTTCCCGCGCGAGCGCTGCACCCTGGGGCAGCTGCAGCCCCAGGAGGTTCGCTCACCCTCTCAGCAGGGGGCAGCGGCGAGGAGGAGATGGGACATAGGAGGAGAGCTTGAGACGAACGTGAAGAGAGGCGTTTGTCTGAGATGTACAGAGCTCAGGGGGGTGATCAGATACAGGTGTGTGAGGCTGACTTCAGATAACAACCTCCATGAAGAACTGCAGGATGGGAGGCTGTGTTATAGCAGGTTCATGGGTGGAAATAAGGATATTATCCTTAAGGACAAAGCCGAGCTCGCTGCACGTAGAGACATGGATAAATATGGAGGCCTTTAACCTCTGAGGGAATAGCAGTTTGGGAAGGTTCCTTCATCATTTTCACAATGTCCATGTTTCACTGTGTGCTTGATGCGAAAGAATCTCGGACTTTGTGCAAAACCTATTACCTTCAAAAGCCTGTAAATAGCCCTCTCTGTCATCAGCTGCTTGTAATATCTGCTCGGTTCATTTTCAGAGGCTATAATTCTGTTAGTGCTCAAACTCCTCCCTTTTGGTTAGGTAGTTGCACATCATCTTGACATTGTGCTTTTGAACCTTCTCTAGATATTTAAAAAGGTGTTTAATGCTAAAGAATTAAAAGAATTAAAAGGCTGAAATCCAGCAGGCTGTGCACAAACAGCTCCACTACCAAATGTCCCTGATGTGAGAGGATAAGACTGTGGCCCTCGTACGACTTTTTGACGCTTCCTCTGAAAGTACTGCTGGTGCTTGTTTGATTTCAATAAATGATAAGGGATCAGGGAAAAGGCAGCTGACAGATTGCCTAACAAACGCATGGACAGAACGTCCTGTCCTGTGTGGCTGGTCTTGAGCTGCCGCTGCGTTGAAGGTACTCATGAACAACGGCACTCGGTCTGAGTGAGACTCCCACACACACGGCCAGTCTGACAGGGCTTCGCCACTGCACACGGCCAATCAGCTGAGAGCACCTCTCAAAGACAGCAGCGTGGAGCAAGCCCACAGCTCCTGGAGTGAGGGGGGGGGGGCACTCTAACGCCACACAGGCCGTGAGGGGGGAGCGGACTGTGGCCCTGTGAGGAGTGACAATCGCCGAATCCCCAGTCGCTGAAAAGAGAAAGGCCGCGCTGCTCTGAACCTCGAGGTGCTCCACCAGAGCATGGATGACGTGGGGGTGATTCTCATCTGCAGAGGCTCTGTGTGCATGAGGGATTGTAGATGCACCCTTGAGACACTCCACTCCACCTAAAGCAGCCAGCTTTTCCGGGAGGAGAAAAACGCTGTGAAGGGCACTTTCTTGTGATGGACTTGGTGGAGGGGCAGCACGATCCTGAAACCACCCCTGGTGAAAGATTCCTAGGTAGTTCTCTTCAAGCAGGAGGGCCTCTTTCACAGACAGAGGCAGGTCGCACTCAGTCGCACTGAACACTGCTAACACCGTGGCTGAAGAGAAAGCAGTAAATATTCTGCATTCAAGTTGCGAGTTGTTCAAATTACATATTTTATCCAATCGCGTATTTTTTTACTTTCATCTTAAACTATAAGAATCCTGTACAGCAAGAGAGCGGCGGGTGCTCTGTTCTGAGTCTGGGTCCCGAGACTGCAGTACTGTGCTCGCTGTCAAAAGTGCACCTTTAAAAAAATAAAGACTTCCACCTTTCGCTTCAGCGAGGTGATTCTTCAGTTACTCCCGGGATTCGAAGGTGCAAAACGGCGTGATTAAAGGTCAGAGCTCTTGGTAATAAAAATGTTACCGGAGACGTTGTGTAATGCGCCAGGAAAACAAGCGAGAGAACTGTCGGCAGTGAGAGGTACCAATGTCTTGGTATTGTCTTTGGGGAAATAAGGTGACAACAACAGCGGGAGCAACGGAACCTTGTCTTCCTCACTCTAGCAACGCATATTTTCATTGTTTCGACAAGAGGATATGCTATCGATCTATTATTGCAGCTGTTATCTTATCGACGATGTGCTCCAGAATGAGGTGGGAATCTACTGCAAATTGGGATATTTAATTGAAAAGCAGGAGAAAATAGCTCTGTACCTAGAAAGTTACAATCCCGCAGGTCTTATAAGTCATTCTTAAATCGTCGATTTGGAAAGTTTGATATAGATTTGAAAGCCGATTTGAAAGTTGGACTGTGGCGCTCCAGACCCACTGGAGGCCACCCGTGTCCTTCATCCCCTGGAGAAGCAGCTCTGCTCACACCTGAGACTGGCTCTCCCGTGCGGTCCCAACACCTGCTGGCTTTGCTTCCAGGTGAGCTCAGCAAAAGTCAATCAAACCCCAGATTTAAAACTATTAACTGACTGGACAGTTTTGATTACTTTCATCTCTGGAACTGCGAGAGATTTGAAAACATCGCCGTTTCGGATCAGGAAACGATGGAAAAGGTCATGTCGGTCAGGCTGCTGGCCCAGTGAAAGGTTCGGTTTTGCAGTTGTGAAGCGGAGATGAGCCCGAAGGGAATGAAAACCAGCAGACAGGGAGGCAGCGGCTGTAGAGACTGTAACACCGCCCCCACAGATCGCTTCCAGACAGCAGGTTTCAAAGCTCTCTCTTAATCTCCATCTGCTTAAGAGCGAGGAAAGGCTTGTCGACTTGTCCAATTCAGCCAATAACTAGTTAAATGATCAAATGAAGGACTTT